TACGAGGGGCGCCTGGGTGGCTCAGTGGGTTAAGCCGCTGCCTTCGGCTCAGGTCATGATCTCAGGGTCCTGGGATCGAGCCCCACATCGGGCTCTCTGCTCAGCAGGGAGCCTGCTTCCTCCTCTCTCTCTACCTGCCTCTCTGCCTGCTTGTGATCTCTCTCTGTCAAATAAATAAATAAAATCTTTAAAAAAAAATAAAAAATAAAAACGAAAACAAAACCTAGCTTCATGGAGATAAAATTCATACGCCATACAATTCACAAAGCTAAAGTGTACATTTCAGTAATCGTTAATACATTTAAGATATATGCAACCATCATCACAGTCAATTTTAGAATGTTTTCATCACCCCCAAAAGAAATCCAGTGACTTTTAGCCATTATTCTTTTCTCTATTCTCCCAATTCCTGTCCCCCACCACCATCCCAAGCAACCATTAGTCTACATTCTGACTCTATAGATGCCCCATTCTGGGCATTTCCTGTGAATGGAATCATATTCCATGTGGCCTCATATGACTAGCTTCTTTCACTTAGCATAATGTGTTCAAGATTCGTTCATGTTGCAGTATATATCTGTATTTCATTCCTTTTTTTTTTTTTAATGAAGATTTATTTATTGAGGGAGCATGCGAGCAGAAGAGGAGCAGAGGGAGGGGGAGAAAATCACAAGCAGTCTCCTTGCTGAGCATGGAGCCTGCTGCAGGGCAGGATCCCATGGCCCTAAGATCATGATCTAAGTTGAAACCAAGAGTTGGATGCTTAAGTGACTGAGCCACCCAGGTGCCCCTATATTTCATTCTTTCTTATGGCCAAATAGTATTTCATTGTATGGATATACTACCTTTTGTTGACCTGGTCATCAGTTGATGGGTGTTTAGGTTGTTTCTACCTTTGGCTATTATGAATAATGTTACTGTGAACATCTTTGTACAAATTTTTGTGTGGACATATGTTTTCATTTCTCTTGGGGCCTTGTGGTGTTTTAACTTGCCGGATTCCGTTCTCCTGTCCCCACTTCTGTGCTAGCCTAAATAAACCAACAGCCTGCAAGCAGACTGAAGACCAGTATCCAGGCAGTCGGTGGATGGGGCAGAACAGAGGTGGAACTTCTTTAAAGCCCCTTTGCCAGAGAACTGTCATTATTTGGCCTGTCATGTGGTTCGATGAAAGACCTCACTCACAAGGAAGGCTGTCTTTATTTCACCTGCCTTGGAGCTGGCCCAGGGGAGCAGCCTTTTCCCTAGGGGCATCTGTTGAAAAACAGTCAACGGCAACTCTAGAACATCAGGTCAGCCTGAGGCCTTAGGTAAAGTTGACACAAACAATAGGTTGATTAAAAAGCTTAAAACAAAAATCTAGGGGAAGGAGATGTCCATAGGGAGCTTTAGGAAGCTCTGACATATTTCTGAGAATTGCTGTGTGTGCTTAGGCCTGGGTGCTACTCAGGAAAGGCCTGAGAAGGCCCCTTAGCTCTCAACTCTGCTAACCTTGACACATTGAGCAAGCTGCAAGCGAAGGGTGAGGCAACACTGTAAACTGCCTGGCGGAGTGTTGGAGGTGTGTCCTAATACATCTGTAGAGCTCTAGGAAAAGGTTGGGAGATTTCTAGGTTCCATGCATTTAAGCAAATTTCTGTCCAATTTTAGCTAGCCACCAAGCTAACTGCGCAGACTTTAGTGACTCCACAAAACAAAGGATACAGAGCTTACAGCATTAGTTCACAAGAGTTATTAAACAAACAAACAAACAAACAAACAAAAACAACAACAAATCTTGAGGAGGGAGAATCTGACTTCCAGAGATGCCACATTACATTATGTAAAATGTGTAATTTTCAACCAAAAATTATAAGATATACAAAGACATAAAGGATGGGCCTGCAATGGACGAAATGTTTGTGTCCCTGCCACCCCCTTCCTTGGTTGAAATCCTAATTCCAATGTGACGGTATTTGGAGGTGGGGCTGTTGGGATGTAATTAGATTTTAAGAGTGGAACCCTCTTAAAGGAATTAGCGCCTCTATAAGAAGAGGCCAGCTAACTGGCTGACTCTCTTTCCACCCTGTAAGCATATAAGAAGTTGGTAGTTTGCAGCTGGAAGAGGGTCCTCACCAGAACCCTACTATGCTGTCACCTCATCTCAGACTTCCAGTCTCCAGAACTGTGAAAAATAGATTTATTTATAAGCCACCCGATCTCTGGTACTTGGTTATAGCAGTCCAAATTCACTAAGACAGGCCCATATATAGAAGAAGAAGAAAAAAAAAAAACATTCCAAAGAAGCTTCCCCTGAGAAGGCCCAGATGTAGGACTTGATAAGGCTTTATTTTTTTTTTCAGATTTTTATTTTTAAATTATTTTATTATCATTATTTTTTAAAGATTTTAGTTATTTGTCAGAGAAAGAGATACATAGAGAGCAGAAGCAGGGGGAACAGCAGGCAGAGGGAGAAGCAGGCTCCCCGCTGAGCAAGGAGCCCAATGAGGGACTCTATCCCAGGACCCTGGGATCATGACCTGAGCTGAAGACAGATGCTTAACAACTGAGCCACCCAGGTGTTCCTTAGTAAGGGCTTTAAATCAATTATTTTAAATGTTTTTAAAGAATTAAAGGAGACCTGCCTGTATAAACAACCAAAGGAAATGATGAGAACAAAGTCTCACCAAACTGAACCTAAGATAGGAATGATAAAAAGAATCAAATAGAAATTTTGGAGTTGAAAAATAACTGAAGAGTTCACTAGAGAGGATAAATAGCATATTTGAGCAGACAGAAGAAAGAATCTGTGAAGTTGAAGAAGAATCAGTGAACTTGAGATTATCTTGTCAGAGGAACAGAATGAAGAAAAATGAACAGAGCCTCAGAGACCTGTGGGTAACTATCAAGTACACAAATATATGTTTAGTGAGTGTGCCTGAAGGAGAGGAGAGAAAAAAGCAGAAAGGGTAGTTGAAGAAATAATGGCCAAAATTTTTCCAGATTTGAAGAAAAACGTTAATGTACACACCTAAGAAGTTCATGAACTCCAAGGAATGCAAAAGAGCTCCACACCTACACACTTCATTATCAAACTGTCAGAAGACAAAGAGAGAATCTTAAAAGCTGCAACAGAGAAGCAACTCGTCATGTACCAGGGATCCTCAATAAGAATGACAACTGATTTGTCATTGGATTGATTATATATTTTTAAACTGAGGGGTGGGTAGAGATTATTAAATCCTAGGGAGAGGGCCCGTGGGCATACAGAATAGTAGTGTGATTGTAAGGAGTGAGGTTTTGAGAATCCAAGCAGTCTAATACAAATGGCCAACAGACACATGAAAAAGTGCTCCACATTACTCGGCATCAGGGAAACACAAAACCACAGCGAGATACCACCTCACTCCTGTCAGAATGGCTAAAATTAACAAGTCAGGAAACGACAGATGTTGGCAAGGACATGGAGAAAGGGGAACCCTCCTACACTGTTGGTGGGAATGAAAGCTGGTGCAGCCACTCTGGAAAACAGCATGGAGTTTCCTCAGAAAGTTGAAAATAGAGCTACCTTATGACCCAGCAATTGTACTACTGGGTATTTATCCTAAAGATACAAAAATAATGATTCGAAGGGGCACCTGCACCCTACTGTTTATATCAGCACTATCAATAATGGCCAAACTACGGAAAGAGCCCAAATGTCCACCAACCGATGAATGGATAAAGAAGATGTGGCGCACGCGCGCACACACACACAAATACACACTGGAATATTACTCAGCCATCAAAAAGAATGAAATCTTACCATTGGTAATGATGTGGATGGAACTAGAGGGTATTATGCTAAGCAAAATAAGTCAGAGAAAGACAAGTACCATATGATTTCACTCATATGTGGAATTTAAGAAAATAGAGGAACATAGAGGAAGGGAGGGAAAAATAAAATAAGAAAAAGACAGGGAGGTAAACCATAAGAGACTCTTAACTATAAAGAATAGACTGACAGTTGCTGGCAGGAGGTGGATGAGGGGAATGGGTTAAATGGATGATGGGCATTAAGGAGGGCATCTGAAATGAGCAATGGCTGTTATAGTTAAGTGATGAATCACTAACTTCTACTCCTGAAACCAATACTACACTATATGTTAACTAACTTGAATTTAAATAAAATCTTGGAAGAAAAAAAAATAAAATAAAAATAAACCAAGCAGTCTAGAAGGCAGGGATGGCTTATGTAAATGAGAAGACATCATGTGTTTATGGAATGGAAGACTTGATATCATTAATATGGTGACACTCTCCAAACTCATCAACAGACTCAGTGCATTTTTACTCTAATTTCCTTTTTTATTGTTGTTGCAAAAATTGACGAACCAAACTTTAAATTCATATTCAGGTTCGAATAGAAATGCCAGGGACCCAGAATAGCCCAATCAATCTTTAAAAAGAAGAAAGTTGGAGGACTCATACTTCCCAATTTTAAAACTTACTTCAAAGCAACAGTAATCAAGAGTGTGGTACCGACATAAGAATAAATGTGTAGATCAATGGAACAGAACTGAGAGTCTAGAAATAATCCCATACGTTTATGGCCAATTGATTTTTGACAACGTTGTAAATTCAATGCAGGGGAAGAGTGGTCCTCTTAATCAATGGTGCTGCCTTAACAGCATCCACATGCAAAAGAATGCTATCCTTCCCTCATACCGTATGCAAAATGCAAAATGGGTCAAAGCCCAGGTTTAGGGCTAAACTACAAAACTCTTAGAAAAGAATATAGGTATACTTTTTTGTGACTTTGGATTAAGCATTAGTTTCTTAAATATGATACCAAAGGCCGAGCAACAAAAGAAAAAATAGATAAATTTTACTTGATCAAAATTAAAAACTTTTGTGTATTAAAGGACACTATCAATCAAGTGAAAAGTTAGCCCACAAAATGGGAGGAAATATTTGTAAATTGTATCTTTGATAAGGGATTAAAATCCACAATGCACAAAGAACTATTACAACTCACCTATAAAAAGAGAAATATTTTTATTATAAATTGGGCAAAAGATTTGAAGGGACATTTCTCCTAAGAAGTCACAGAAATGGCTAATAAGCACATGAAAAGAATGCTCAACACTACCAATCACTAGGAAAATGCAAACCCAAACCACAGTGAGATAGATAGTACTTCACATCCACTAAGATGTTTATAATCAAAAAGACATCAGATGAGAAGCAGCGTTGGTGAGGAAGTGGAAAAATTGGAACCCTGGTGAGATTATGAAGTGGTGGAAAACAGTTTGTCAGTTCCTCACAAAGTTAAGCATATAGTTACCATATGACCCAACAATTTCACTCTTTGGTAAATACCTATGAGAGTTGAAAGCATATGTGCACATAAAAACTTGTACAGAGATGTTCATAGCAGTGTTATTTAAAATAGCCAAAAAGTGGAAATAACCCCAATGTCCCTCAACTGGTGAATAGATGAGCAAAATGTGATAGACCCAGGCAATGGAAATACTAATCAGCCACAAATGGGAATGAAGTACTGATACAGTGTACACCACAGATGAATCTTGAAAACATTATGCTAAACAAAAGTGCGCCTATTATATAATTCCATTTATATGAGCTGTCCAGAAGCAACAAGTTCACAGAAGTGAAAAGTAGAGTGGGGGTTGCCAGAGGCTGGACAGAGTAGGGAATGAGGAATGACTGTTGATGAGTTATGGGGTTTCTTTTTGGGGTGATGAAAATGTCCTAGAATTAGACAGTGGTGAGTGTGTGCAACTTTGCAAATATTATTACCTGCTACTGAATTTTATGCTTTAAAAAAAGTGAATGGAGAAGAATGTGAGGTTGAGTATTAATAGCATATGGAGCCAAATACTGAGTCTGGCATTACCCATGAGTGGAGCAGAGTGTTGAGTCTGGCATCAATCATAAGCGAAAGAGAATGTGACACCAACTCTTAATAGACTGGGGAGCAGGTTGTTGACTCTATCAGGAAAAGGAAGCAGGTACATCTGCTGTTACAATTGTCAGCTGGTAACAGTAAATGGAATTTGGTCTCAAGCATTTATAGTGAATCCAGCAGAATGCAAAGTCTAGTGTTCATTGCGCAAAGGGCAGATTATTGAGTTTTGTGTAAGAGTGAATAGAGGAGAGAGTGGTGTCGAGTGTTGATGGCAGAGGAAACTAAATGTCATCTCTCACACTGAAAGCTAATGGAACATGAAATATCATGAAAATAAAAAACAGTGGAGAGACTCTTCTAGATTAAAAGAGTAGCCATATACAGGGGTGCCTGGGTGGCTCAGTTGGTTAAGTGGCTGACTTTTGCTTAGGTCATGATCCCAGAGTATTGGGATGGAGCCCCACATGGGACTCCCTGCTCAGTGGGGAGCCTGCCTCTCTCTCTCTCTCCCCCCCTCTGTAGCTCCCCCTGCTTGCGTGCACTCTCTCTCTTTCAAATAAATAAATAAAATCTTTAAAAAAGTTTTGAAAATAAAAGAGCAGCCATATATAGTATGAATCTTGATTGGATCCTTGACTGGATCCCTTGCCATATTTACTGATGACGTTTTTTGACATTGGGAAAACATGAAGTTTCTGCATTAGATGATATCATGGAATTACTTCTACTTCAATAATTATTGATATAAAATTGATATATAGTATATAAATAGAATTGATATAAATATAATTATTATTGAATTAATGTTAATTTTTTGGACAAATATCACTGGGGTCCTTATTCCTTCTTTAGAGATGGCTTATCATGATGTCTGTAACCATCAAATGATTCAACAAAAATTGTGTCTATCTACTACCTACCTACTTAGCTACCCATCTACCTACCCACCTACTTATCTTTATAGAGAACTAAAGTAAATGTGGCAAGATGATTAAGAGTTGGAATCCAGGTGAAGGATGTTAGAGTGATCATTGTATATTCTTCCAACTTTCCTATATCAAAGCATAATGTTGAATGAGGCCTTAATTGGAAATGGTACAGAATGTTGGATTTAGCATAAGGCTAAAGGGAGCAGAATATGGAGTCTGGCGTTAACAGTAGGCTGAATGTTGTGTCCGCTGGTGAGTGATGAGAGCAGAATGGGGCTCAGACGGTAGCAGTGAGCGCAGTAGAATGCAGGGCCTAGAATTAAAAGAGAGTAGAGCAGAATGAGGCATCAAGCATTCACAGTGAAGGCAGTAGAATGTTGTACCTCACGTATGGGTGAATGGAGGAGTAGGGGGTGTCTGGCGTTAATAGTAAATGAAGCAGAACATCATGTCTAGTGTTAAAAGTGAATTAAGCAGAATGTGAGGTCTGGTGTTAACAGTGAAAGGAACAGAACGTCGCATTTATGCCAAGGGCGACTGGCGGAGAATTAGTGTCTGGTGTCGGTAATGAATGAAGTGGAATGCTGTGTCTGGTGTTTGAAGAATGGGGCAGAAATGTTGTGTCTAGCACAGAGTGAATGGAGCAGAATGTGTATCTGGCTTTAATAGTGAATGGAGTGAAATGCTGTGTCTGGTGTTAATAGTGAATGGAGCAGAGTACGGCTCAGGAGAGAATAGTGAAAGGAGCAGAATGTGGTGTTGAATGTTAGAAATGTGAAAGAAGATCAAGGTATGGGAAGAAAAGGGTTCACACATGACGTTTGGGACAAGGCTGCTATCTTACAAAGGACCTGCTTGCGAGGCTGGCCCTTGATTGAGAGCTGGGAACCTGAATTTTGGGAATGTTCCCGCTTTCCCTAAGTGATAAGGATGCTTCACTGTGCCTAGACTGCCCATATAAACAACAAGGACTGTGCCAAATGTTTGCTTTCCTCCTGGGAGTCTGGAGTTTTGGTGTGTGCCAGGTGGAAGGGGCCTGTGTGACCAGCACCCAGTAAAAATCATCCATACTGAATCTTAAATGAACCTCAAAACAATGTCTCTATCTCCCTGGGCAGAAACATCCCACAGTTGTGACTGCCTTTTTATTGTTAGGGTAGGAATGTGCTCTGTGTGGTCCTGCCCTGGGGGGCTGGGGGTAGAAAACAAGGAAGCCTGCAGATGGCTTCCTCCAGACCCTGCCTTTGTCTTTTTCCTTTATCACCTAGCTGTGTATTCTTTTCAATTTTTTTTTATTTTTTAATTTTTTTTAGAGATTTTTATTTTATTTTTTTCAAGGATTTCTTTATTCATCTTAGGGAGAGAGAAAGAGAGAGAGAGTGGAGCAAGGAGCAGAGGGAGAGGCGAAGCAGACTCCACGCTGAGCGGGGAGCCCAATGTGGGGCTCCACCCCATAACCCTGAGATCTTGCCCTGAGTGAAATCAAGAGTCCCACACTTAACCGACTGCGGCCCCCAGATGCCCCCAAGCTGTATGTCCTTAACGCAATGCTATAAGAAATCTTAGCTGTGGGGCGCCTGGGTGGCTCAGTGGGTGAAGCCTCTGCCTTCAGCTCAGGTCATGATCTCAGGGTCCTGGGATCCAGTCCCACATCAGGCTCTCTGCTCTGCAGGGACCCTGCTTCCTCCTCTCTCTCTCTCTCTCTCTGCCTGCCTCTCTGCCCATTTGTGATCTCTCTCTGTCAAATAAATAAAATCTATTAAAAAAAAAAAAAGGAATCTTAGCTGTGAGAACAATGCTATGCTGAGTCCTGTGAGTCGTATCAAATCTCTGAACGTGACGGTGGTCCTGGAGACCCCCCACCACAAAGCATCTACTGTTAATGGTGCAAGGAGCAGGAGGTTGTGTTTAGCACTAAAAGTGAAGGAGGTGGAGGTGGGGTTGAGTGTGAATGACACGCGAGCAGGATGCGTGTGGAGTGCTGGTAGAGAACGGAGCAAACCGTGGGGTTTGGCAACTGTGCACAACACAGTGTCCAGTCTGGAGGAGAGCTCTGATGCCCCAGAATGCTGGATCCTGCCAAGGGTGGCCGATGAAGAAACAGTGACTAATTCCTCGTGCTCCCTTCATCTCAGGCAGGGTAGAGAGATGGGTGTCCATCTCTGTCCAGGTGTTTTGTGCTCTGGGCAGTAGGACTTACCTTGGGCAGGGATGCTCGGGAGCCAGAGCTCTGGGTGGTCATGGTGAGCACGGTGGTGATGCCCAGGCCCACGCGGGCTGGTGCGGCGTCCATGTTGATCCAGAAGGAGATCCATGAGAGGATGACAATGAGCAGGCTGGGAATGTACATCTGGATCAGGTAGTAGCCCATCTGTCGCTCCAGGTGGAACCGGGCCTCGATGCAGGTGAATTTACCTGCGAGAAGTTATGGTGAGAAGGCAGAGTATGCTGGGGAGGTCGGAACAGCCTCAGCCGGAGGCCTGGGTCAGCCTCACACTAGCTGTGTCCTGAGGCAAGCTCCGGAATCTGTGTGTCTCCATTCCCTCATCTGTGGTAAATTAGGGGTGATGAGGGCGATGGTGCCCACCTCCTGTGGTCACCTGTGTGTTACTGTGAGGGTGAAATGAGGACTTAGCGCACTCCTCACACCTTTTGTGCTCAGAAATGTCAGGTGCCGTCACCCTTACCAGCCCTGTTTTGTTGCTAAGAGTGGGCCTCAGTGGACCTGTCCTTAGCCTTCCGTCAGGTACCTTCCCAAACCATGACTCAAGCCTGTTAGTTCCTGTTGTAAAAATGTTCCTTCCTTCCTTCCCTCCTCGTACAGAAAAGTCCCCATTATCTACAGGAAAAAGCTCAAACTTCTCAGCCTGCTCTTTGTAGCCATGCTCTGGCCTGTTTTTCCGTCCCACTTCCCATCTTTCCTCCCCCTCATTGTGACCCCTTCCACTCTACACTGGCCTTGAGAACTTTGACCCTTCTGAGCTTTGGCCCCCACTGATCCCACTGCCTGGGAGCCAGGCCTCTTCCCCACAACCAGTGGAAGGACCCTCCTGCTCCCCACCACCCTCTTCTGGTCATGCAGTCATCCAGCCTTAGGGCAGAAGGCAGTGAGTGCATAGGCACCTCGGTCTGTCTGTCCTCTGCACTGGACTGCGGGCAGCTGGTCTCCCCCCAACTCTGTGCTTGCCTGGAACCGGTCGGGGTCCCTCATCCTCTCCCCCCGCCGGATCCACAGGGCCTAGTGCAGAACTCAGCTCTCACCCAAGTGGGAACAAGGAAGAGCGAATGAGTTAATGAATGAGAAAACACCGTGTGAACAGTTTCGGGCTGTGATATGCGAGGCAGTGGGACTCCGTGAGTCACTGCTGTCACGGCTGCTAATGGGAGTACCATCACGACTCGGTGTGCCCAGGGACCAGGACAGTATCTCTGGAGGTGACCCGGGAAGGGGCAGCTGTGCCCAACACAGAAGAGCCCAGGCTGCCTGCCCTTGCTCTGGGCCTTCTACCCGCAGCAGAGCACGCAGCGATTTCTCTCAAGCCCCTGCTTCCACCCGGAAGGCCTCCTCTGTGGCCTATTTCCCTCTCTCAGCTGGGCTCTAGCTGGCCTGCTGACTGGAGGCCTTTCCTCCACTACACCTCCGTGAGCTCCTTCCCAACCTGCGGTAGGGCAGACAAGGCCGGTCTTGGTCCGACCCCAGCTCATTCCTGTGTCCCATCTTCCCACCAAGGCTGCCCTATGCTTGGGAGACAGAGAGCTGGGCACAACGGCCATGGGTCCTTCCCCTCTCCTGCAGCTCACAGTCTGGGGGACCCCTTCCAACCGCGCTGCTCACAGACCTCACATCACCTCTCAGCTCCCTCCTGCTGAGGTCTGAGGAGAGCAGCCTGGGTACTGCGTCCTGTCAGAAATGCCAGGTCCCCTGTGACAGACACGGCAAGATGTCCTCGTATCCGCTCCCCGCTTTCTGCCTTAGGGACAGGGTTCATTTAGAGCTGGGCTACTGCTACCTGGAGTGAAGACTCTTATCTCCCGGCCCCCCTGGCAATGAGGTGTGTGGCCTGAGCATCACGTGCGTGCCCCAGGACATCCGGGGAAAAGATATCAGAGCCACTTTTTCAGTTTTAAAGACTCTTCTCTTAAACACGAGGTAATCAACACAGAACTGTGTCCCTCACGGGCACCTCGTAAGATCTGTTGAACCAGAAGTTGAACGAATGTTTGGACCTACCTGTGTTATAATGCTTCGTGCAGTATCTCAGGTCCTTCTCCTCTTTCAGGATAAACTGCGGTAGAGTTAGTCCATCTGCCACCTGCACAGCTCCCTGCTCCTGCCACTCGAAGATCAGGTCATTCATGGTATAGCCAACTGGGGTGGGGGACCAGAAGAAGCAGCGGTCACCACCCAGAAGCACTCATTTGCAGCGGGTCGGAGCTGGTTTGGGTTAGAGACTGAGAGGCGTCTGGCACGAGAGGGAATGCATGGGACCACGTTGCCTCTCCACCACCCCCTCCCCATTCTTCTTCCACCCTCCCCTCACCTCCCCTGCAACCGAGGAGGTTAAAACTGGTCTAATTGCTTACATCGACCCCCTGCCTTCTACCTCGCCTGTCCTTTCGCCTCCGCCTCTTACCCCTGGGGTCCTCGGCAGCTCGCATCTGCTATGGGGCCTGCGTGCCTTCCTTGCACGCTCCCTCCTCTGCTCACAGCAGCTTTTCCTGGGGGAATGACTCTATAAAGCTGTTGGGGGACTATCAGCCGGGGGCCGAGGTGTTAGGTAATGACGCAACTAGACCCGTCAGATGCTCTGTCCCAGGACTTGAATCTTGAATCAAGCAACAGAAAGTCAGAGTTGGCTGGTGCCAGGTCCCCTCCGAGGTGGTGCTCCACCTAAGTCTGCTGCCTAAATCCTCTGCCCTGGTTTCTGTACGTCTTTCAAGTCCATGAGGAAGCCCTGTCCTTCCATTGAATTCCACCTTTTTTTTTTTTTTTTTTTTTTAAGGATGTTTATTTATTTGACAGAGAGACACAGTGAGAGAGAGAACACAAGCAGGGGGAGTGGGAGAGGGAGAAGCAGGCTTCCCACTGAGCAGGGAGCCCGATGCAGGGCTCGATCCCAGAACCCTGGGATCATGACCTGAGCCACCCAGTCACCCTAAATTCCACCTTTTAAATTAGACTGGTTTCCGTTTGCAGTCAAAGAGGTTGGCTACCTCCTCAGGTAGGTTCCCTTGTGACCTGCGACATAAAGCCCTCTCCAGTGCCCCCTCTCCTCTCCTTCCCAGGCAGAAGGAAGCATTCTTTCTGCCTAGAGGCCGCAGTGTTCAGCCTTCCAACAACACACTTACCACTTGCCGCCCTGGGTTAAAGTTCTTTGTGCTGCCGGCTGTCTGTGTGTCCCCAGCTGCAGGGAGCAGCCCTGTGAGTTCAGGGACCCGGACTTATTCGAGCTCTTTCTCCTCCATTCCCGGAGAGTGTATCCACAAGGGAGGTGGAAGAGTGTCTCTTGGGAGAATACTGCTGGCTCTGAAGCTGGGCCTCAGCCAGCCAGTAAGGGGGCTTAGATTTCTAATGCATTTTCTAAAGCGAAGCCCCCTGTCTGGTGTTTTGGGCTAGGACAGTTATCTCTTGGGGACCAGCAGTTAGCTGCTGTTGCCATATGGGAATTTCTGCAAGTACCCTGGGTAAAGGGGAGTCTGGTTCTTTCTAAAGCCCTCATGCAAGTGACTCACAGCTTTCCAATTGCATGATGCACGTCTGGACGTCCATGGGGAAATTCTTCAAGTCCATGGGGCAGGCCAGTGTTAGTGTGATTCTGAGAAGAGAAGGGAGTTGAATGATGCTAGAGCCACACACCAGGGAAGCTGTGCCTCCATTCCAGTTATTACCAGGAAATCAGTTATCTTGGGGAGGTCAAGGAGGTCAGGGAACTAGTGCGTATTGAAATAATATATGTGTATTTCTACATTCCAGATATGGAAATGGAGGCTCAGAGAGATACAGTATGTTGCCTAGAGTCACACAGTCAGTGGAACTTGTGGGTTTCTGTGGAGTCTGTCTGGCTTCTAAACATCTTGCCATCAGCCATGGCCTGAAGGCCTGGAGGCCAGGTGCTGCCCCTGATCCCTGCTCTTCCGGGGAGGCTCAATTCCAGGTCGAGCAGCCACAAGCCTCAGGCATCCAGGGCCACCTGCAGCAGGGCTTCAAGTGGTTCTTTGCTGCCTCCCTTCATACACTGGACTCATCAAATGCTATTTTAAAGAGGCCCTTGCCTTCTGGGTGTCCAAACAGAGCTGACTCATACCTGTGGGCTCATGCTGGGATCAGCTGGCAAGTGGTGGGTGCCCCCAGCTTCTGCGAGAGCTATTTTGGGTTGTTTCACCCTTACAGAGGCCGAGCCTCAGAACCAGAGGGGGTGCCCCAACAGAAGCAAAGTGCACAGTTCAGGCTATGATGCAAGGCTTCAGCTTCAAAGGCTTGGCCCGCATCGGAGCACCTGCTCCAGAGAAGAGAGAAGAAAGGCTCTCAGAGCCCAGAGAGGTTTAGATCATCAGGCCAACTCCCTCACTGGACAGCTGAGGAGACTGAGGTCCAGAGAAGGATTGGTCGGGACTCCTGCAAGGTCACCCAGTGCATGATGACTCAAAGGCAGGATTCAAAATTATGTCTCCTGGCCATTGGATTCGGAGCTCCTGTGTTTACTTTCTGACACTGCTCTCCTGAAAAGGACCTCATCGGTGGTGGTCTAGTGACACTTGGCCACCGGCACCTTACTGCACATGATGAGGGCATGGCCCCGTGTCAGCTTTTCTCCTCCAGCTCATGCCCACTGCTCTGGATTTGGGCCCCATTGAAGCACAAGATAGAAGCAAGAGGGGGGAAAAGGGAAGGGAGAGGGAGAGGGAAAGTGAAGAGAAAGTGAACAGAGTTGAATTTTTGAAGATAAAAGCTCCAAAGTGGGGCAGCTGTCACACTAGGTTAATTTTCTGAATCTGAATGACCTTGGGAACATCACTTTCTGCTGATCTGTCCTTCTGTCATGCTGCATGGGGCTTAGCTTTGTAGAGATACCAAACCCGCCTGGCAGCAGCAAAATCCAGCAGTGTAACCTCTTCTGCCCCAGCAGCCAGGGCACCGGTGGCCATCCTGAGCCCATCAGCCTTCCATCTGGATGTGCGCTGGCAGGATGGCAGGAGGAGGAATGCCACATCTGCCTCTGGCTCCTCCCAGCAATCCCCTCCTCGGGGCCTCCTTTCCCCACTGAGGTTCTTGAGTCCCCTCTCCTACCTGGCTTGCTCTCAGGAGTCACCCTGAGTCCAGCCATATCTGAAGGTTAGAACGGCTATAGCCTCTCCTATGGGCCTGGATATTTAAAGCTCATCTCCTAATGGAAACAGAAAGATTGATTCCCCCAAAGAACTGGAGGGGGAGGAGGAGTCATTTAGGGCCAGTGACCCTTAGAAGCCCTTTGAAATAAACACATACTCATTCATTCATCAAATGCGTGCCTATTGCATGCCGGGAACTTTCGGCTAGGCTCTCAGTGGGCATCAGATGGACACTAACAGATTGGAATCTGGGCTGTGCTACTGGGTAGGTGGCTGGTGGGAACTTTGGCAAGCCGCTTAAGTTCTCAGATCTTCACTTGTGTAATCTGCAAAATGGGCATAACAGAAATATTTCATGGAATTGTTAGGAGGATTACAAATAATATATGTAAAATACCCAGCCTAGTTAGTAAATTCTCCACGAATGCTACATATATAAGAATCTAGCACGGACATTGGTCATTTTCTCCATGACTTTGGGGAGGAAATAGGGAATTACGTGGGGAGAGTTGGCAGGAGACTCTTAAAGTTTGCCCCTAACCAGTATCTATAGGATACCTCCCAGTTGGGAAGAGGGTCCCAGCTTCCTAGACTCAGTGCAAAGTTTGGGGGATGGAAGGGGTTTATGGAAGGGAGGTAGCAGCCCCGGTTTGTACCTGTGAGTAGCCTAGCAGGCCCATTTTTGTTGAGGTTGCTGGGACTTTTCAGGCTTTGTGCCTTTGCTACTGCTACTTTTTTAAAATTGTGGTAAGAACATTTAACATGAGATCTAGCCTTTTAACAAATATTTGTGTGTACAAAATAGTATTGTCAACTCTAGGCACAATGTTGAACAGTAGCTCTCTAGAGCTCACTAATCTTGAGAAACTGAAGACCCCTGCTGCTGAGCACTGTCTTTAAATACTCTTTTCCCTTTTTGTTTTATTGAAATGCTGGCTAAGCTCAGGGGCCCAACCTTAACCCTTCTAAGATGCTTCCTCGGTTCCCCTAGGAACCACTCACCCCTAGGACTTCGCCTGGTATGTTCTCCTTCCTCCCTGAGTGTAATTTACAGAGCTGGCTCCGCACAACGTGCAAAGGTGTGGGGTTGCCCAGGCCTTTGCACCCCTGGTTGGCCCATCTCCTAGCGTCTGCTCCCAGAAGGCTATGGGACCAGGTGCACTCTGAGGAGGATGGCAGGGTGAGCCTCTGTGGAACTCACCTAATACTGTAGAGGACATTTCCGTTCCGGGAGATCCTCAGCAGTTTGTTGTCGGTGGTGATCTCGTGGAAGTGAGCCCCCTTCTCGTTGGCAAAGAACAGGTCGGGTTTCCAGATGGAATCCAGCATGGACGGGTCCAGGTCCAGAGAGTCATCCGGGTATTCATTGTAGGCCAGCCGGGGGTCGTTCCACTGCTGCCGCAGGAAGATGTTGACCCTGTAGTCCTACAGCCAGGAGATACGGAGTAGTCAGGGTTAGGCCCCGGGAGGTCTGCTCTTGGAGGGCCCCGGGGTTTTTGTGCTCCCCAAAGTCCCTTTTGGAGAATTCGGAGTACGGTTGCATCTTATGTAGGTGAGACATAAAGTCTGTGCCTCAGGAAGAAAGTCGGGGGAGTCACCCCTGAAGATCCTGTCAGCACCCTATCAAGTATATTCAGCTCTGAACTGAGATTACTTAATGGTATTCTGAAAATTTTCAAAAATAAAGTTCCACCTGACGTAGTAAACACCTGTTTTCATCCCGTTGCCATTTTGTCATGTTTGCTTTGATTTTTGGATAAGAGAGAGCACATCACGGATAAAGCTGAAGTCCCCCTTTTACTTTTTTATTTTATTTTATTTTTTAATAAAATTTGTCTCTACTTGAGAGAGAGAGAGAGAGAGCACAAGTAGGCAGAGAGGCAGGCAGAGAGAGAGGGGGAAGCAGGCTCCCCGCTGAGCAGGGAGCCCTATGCGGGACTCCATCCCAGGACTCTGGGATCATGACCTGAGCTGAAGGCAGCTGCTTACCCGACTGAGCCACCCAGGCGCCCCTAAAGTCCCCTTTTATTATGGAGGCCGTCAGGGCAGTAATTCCCATGCACAGTAAAGTTCGAGTGTCACTCTTCCATAGATTGACGGAGCAAAAGGAGAGGCTAAAAGCAGCTGCCTGAGCGTTCAAGCTGTTCTGCCTGAAGGGAACAATGAATTCCCAAGCAGTGAAGGAAGGACAGGTGAATTCTGAGGAGCTCCTGCTGGTCCTAGGGTTCATACTGCTCTGTTTCAGCCAGCCTCTGCAACCTTCTATCACACATGGTAATTTATTTGTTTGGGGAGGATTTTCTCTTTAATTTTTTTTTTTTTCTAATGTAAGCTCTATACCCAACGTGGGGCTTGAACTCATGCCTTCAAGATCAAGAGTCGCGTGCTCTACTGACCGAGCCAGCCTGGTGCCCCTGGGGAGGATTAATAGTTTGTGGAGTCACATCTTACTGGATTCTGAACTCAGTGCTAAGTCTAATGCTTCTAGGATGGGACTCTAGTATAGTTATTCTGCTGAACAAAAATTTTTTTTTAATTAGGGAATGTTGGACTAAACAAAATGCAACTGATTCTTTTTACTGTGGGACTTCTTGGAGACCTTAATATGCTAATTATTTGTATGTATCTCCAAGAGGGTAGGTTTATTTTGGGCATTTAACTCTTGCATTTTGTGCGTGATGATTGCCTTCTACTGAATATATGTTAGGAATTGCCGTCCTTGTCAAAACATCCTCCCCTCCCCCCACCTTCATTTCTCTGCTGGATGGAGAAACTGAGGTCCAGAGAGTTAAGACTGACCCAGTATCACTCTGAAAGGCAGGTCAGAGCCCAAGAGTCCTGACTCCCAGCTAAGGATTTGTTCAGTTGGTCCTAGGATTGCTGAGAGAGCCCATTCAGCAACCGATCACAGCCTGAGAAGCAGTTATGGTACGGGTAGGTCTCCATGCCAGGAAAGTGGGTCATGAGGTTAAGAAATATTTTCATGAAGAAATGTTTTCAGTTTTGTTAGGCTCTAGGATCTAGGACTAGATCCTGGGATCTAGGACTCTTAAGATCCTGCAAGTAGAATTTGGGATTTATTTGTGTTTTCCCAGGAAGAAGAACTTGGTTGTCTGTGCTGGACTCTCAAAAGGGTCTACAGTTCCCCAAAAGATTAATAACCTCAGTTCAAGTCGGACTCTGAATTCGCTCCTTCCAGGAATAACCTCCACACAGGAGCACCTGCCGGGGCTTTCCCCGAAGGTGCTGGAGAAACGAGACTCTGCTACATTTTCTTTCCCTAATCACTCTTGATCTGTCGTCAGCAGGGATGGACTAAAACAAACGACCCTCCTCGCCACCCTTACCCTCACCCCTGCCGGGTCCCCCCACAGTACGGGTCTCATTCTGTTTGCCTCTGGAAATATCAATAGCTTTGTAAAGTGTTCCAAGGTATTTTATAGGATTTTCTATAATTTAATTGCAACCTCTCCCTCCAGCCCCATAGACAATGACATTTGATCTCATAATCTCATGTCTTATAAGTCCCATGGTGGAAGGAGAACTGTAGGCCAGACCTGGATGTTGATACTTTGTTTTTCCTGCTGACAGTAATGGAGAGCTCCCAATCTGGCCACCTCTGATCAGGAAATTAGAAATAGCCTCACTTTTTCTCTTGAATTTTATGTGGAGTGTGTGTGCATGTGTGTGTATGCTTGTGTGAGAGTGCACAGGGCAAATCATGTCAGAGGAAACAGACTGTGAGTGGTGGTGCAGGAAAAGCCTCCAGTCCCCAAACCCCAGCTTCACTTTGAGGTTCTTGCTAGTGACATGTGAGTCCTGTTTATGTGGCTGGAAGAGAAGGAAGTGGCATTTCTTAAAATGGTCTGTTAGGCACCAGGCGCTGTTCTAGATGCTGTCACACACACTCAGTCTTCACAAAAGCCCTGTAAGCTGGACACTCAACTTTTCATGGTGAGGGAAAGAGGACCAAGGTTTGGAAACGTTGTGAAACTTGTCCAGGGCGCAGGGCTAGTAAGTGGCAGAGCTGGGCACTGAAGGCACATCAGCCCCACCCGCTGTCCCATCCCACAGGGGCGGATAGCCAGCTGTGCACTAGGAGACTCCCCTCCCCTCCACACTGCCTCTGTGGATTCTGCCTGCTCAGTGTAAGCACTGTCTCCTACAGGAGCCTCGATGCCCCCAGGCTTCCATGGCCTCTTCCTTTTCTGATCTCCTAGCAAAACAGAATCACTGGAAACGTGTCATTTAGCACTGTGTGTGTCTTGTCTTCTCTACTTGATCAGCAACAGTTTGAGAGGCTGAATCTGACCTTACTTTTCTCCTGCACCATCTCACCCACCTGCCCAGTCAGTGCCCCCGAGACCTACCCGATACCAGAGGGAGGAGGAGGCAAAGCCAAAAAAGTTTGAGCAGAAGAGCTTTCCTCATTTTAGAGTGGAGAGTCTAAGACCCAGAGAGAGAATGTGACTTCTGAGGTCACATAGCGATTCAGTAAAGGACCTACGATTGGAACCTGAATTTGCTTCTCTGGTGTTTAAAGTAATTAGGATAGATGGTCTCTAAGAGCCCTTCCAAATCAAATAGCTAATTGCTACTAGTTTAATTTTTTCCAGCAACATTTAACTGAGCATCTACTGAGTGCTAGGCACTGTTCTAGGTACTGGAAAACCTCCCAAGAGCAAGAAAGACATATTCTTGCGGCCACAGAGCCCAAGTGTGATGTTGACATGACATAGGGATAAGGGCTCCCATAGGATTAAGTACAGGGTGCCAGGGAGGTGTAGAAGACAGGCCCTCCTGCTAGACTAGAGGCTGGTGGTCAGGGAAGTCTCCAGAAGAAGTGATATTTAAGCTGAGACCAAATATGGTTGAGCCAAGAGAACAAGCCCTCTGGGGCAGTAGGAGCCGCATACTGGGAAGCCTAGAGGCACAGGAAGGCGTGGTCTACTGGAAAGGAGCACAGGGAGATGAGTAAGGCAAGGTGCTTGCATGGCCTTGGGCCTTGCCAACTGTCCTAAAGAATTTGGGCTTCATCCTGAGACTCCTGTGGAGCCTTTGAAGAATTTTAACGAGGAGAGGGCATTATTACATTTGCATTTGATGACTGATGTTTAAAAAATATTTTTTCTGATTATAAAAGTAAATGCATGTTGATGGTAAAAATGAGGAAGGCACACCCCTTGAAAGAAGAAAAACAAAATTAAAGCCATAGGGTCTTGTGATGAAATGGCTAATGAAAAGCCAGAGCAGGAGACCAGAAGAATTTATCTTCTGTCCTCAGGCAGCTTGGCTCCTCCTCCCGGCAGCCCCCTGCTCTGCCCCACAGCGGGTGTCCAAACAAGCTGTTGCATCGATTTTCTCCTCTGGGGTTGGGAAATAGCAGTAGGAAATGCCGCTTGGAGGCTGTCGATGTAATTGGTGTAATAGGCTGAAAGCTAAAAGCTGTTTTGCTTACTTGGCCCTATAATCACACTGGTCAGTGTTCGATACGCTGGGGGGCCCGGTTCAAGTTCAGGGGCTAGAGGAGCAACCCACGAGTTATGTACCCAAGAACCTCAAGTTCCAGCTCCGGTGGTTGGCTTCCAGGTCTCAAGCTGTCAAGGGTGGCCCATCTAAGTCTGCCGTGGGAGGGACTTCCAGAGCTCTCGCTCAGTCGTCTTTAGCACCAACACACCCATCCTCCCTGTGAGAGTCCCTGATGGTCTGCTTTCTGGTATCTGCGCAACTGCCTTGCTTCTAAGACCAAGGTAGAGCATTAATCCCTTCATTCACTCTTTCTGTCATTCAATAAACATTTATTGGCCACTTCCTGTGTGCCACCTGCCGTGGGATCTATCCCCCCACCCCCTGCCCACTGCCACCCCCACTGTGTCTGATTTCCGGTTATAACCTTTTCCAGTAAACTCCTCTAAACTTGGTGCTGTGGGAAAAGAGGAAGCATGAAGGGCTTTAGTAGGAAAGAGCCTGCATGGGTGTGGTGGTGAGAAGGGGATGTGTCCTTACCATTGCAGTCAGAGCCAAGGGACAGTGCCCAAGCCCTGGATGAAGATTCAGGTTCTTAGATCTTCCTAGGTCTCGGCATTCCAGCTCTCAAGGGGTATCTCTTCTCTAAAGCCATTTCTGCTCTATAAACATGTATTAAGCCTCGAATGGGAGGATGGCAGCATATGGTCTTGTTTCTACCCTCGGACGGTTCAAATTATCTGGCAGGTGAGGCAAGATACGGACACAAATATCTCCCATACAAAACTGACAGTGACAGAGGTCAAAGGGGTTCTAAAAAAATTGCTATTAGATGTTGCTCTCGAGCCACTGAGATAGTTTCCAGCCAGGTTGGATGAATTTGGAAAAGTTTCCAGAAAGAAGGTAACACTGGAAATAGCCCCTTTCAGTTTTCTCCGTCCTACTGAAGTTAACATCTC